GAGTTTTGATTTCGAGAATAAAGTGTCTAAAGGAATTGCCTATTACGTAGGACTTACCAACTTATACAAACTTCATCATATGAAGTGGTTGCATCTGAATGTGTAATCACCAATAGCCCAGCAACACTTTTTCAGAGTCATTATCCCCCACACGTGCTTGTTTTAGTCCTCCATATCAACCCATTTTGCACAGACAAGTCAAAGACCAAATCTAGAAGACATTTTCAAAGAGGATTATGACTGGTAACCATTTGTAATGCTGAGCTATCTGATTGGTTAAATCAAGGCCATTTGGCTTTGGTGTCTATTGTGTACTCCTACCGACCAACTTAGTGTATGCAACGTAATTGCTCAGTGTTTCCTAACATACAATCAAATAGTAGGATGGTACAAAGCTGCAGTAATGAAAGGTAATAGTATAGTTAATTTGAGAGTGAGTAGTTGATCACTGTATGTTTGTTCATCATCAAATGTACGCCAAATACGGTGTAGTGGCGTTGATGCACTACTAATATCGGAAGAAAAAAAGGAAAAATATTATTACCAGGGATATCAATCGATGAGAAATCTTAGAAGTATTTGAGAAAAATATGAACTTTATTTAAATCCTCTCATACGTATATGAACAATGGATTGTGCTCAAAACGTTATCAGTAAATAAATACTGTTTCACTGTGTTCTGTGAAATAAATCATTACATTTTTAAATCAATAATATTACTCAGCGACATTATCCATACTCTTTACTAAGACTTGGACCACCCCTATTGTCTAATTCCAGTATGAAGGGAGAGTAAATTCGAGTCTTGTGTGCAATAGGTGGTAGTGGTGTAACAACAGAAGACAAAGGCCAGGCAACAGATCGTTTATTAAGGAAATCAACACATATTAATACATTTTCATGTACATTATTATAGATTATTGTTAGCAGAAAAACACAGTCTTCTGATTAGTTGTTTCTCACTGAAAGTTAATCTTTCACCTCTTTGTGGCTGTTTCTTGAACGTCAGATCATCTATATGTTAACTGTATCCACTTATGCCAAGTCTTTGTTTTTATTTTTTCACGATTAATATTGGGGACATAAACATTGACGTAAATTACTGTCTACCGATTTAGCTAGCAGCCAGCTCTCACCACAGTGGGATGTCCCTATCATAAATTCTTGTCGTTATTCACTGGCTGGGACATCGAAACGATATCCTAGGAAGTGTCCATTAGACTACTACTCAAACTGGATAGATTGAGGTTGTGATATAATAACCGTCAGAGTTCACTCATCTCATTGACTGATGTCGTTTAGAAGCTAATAGCTGTTTATTACGTAAAGAAACATGTTCACAAGAAACAGTTAAGAAGGGAGAAATCATGTTAATTCAGATTATTAAGTGGTGGTTTATAGGAATTTAGATTCATTTCAAGTTATACTTTATGAAAAACGTATATCCTTCCGGAAAACATTGAAAATGAGGTTGTACTCGCGGATAATTAATAAAAGTGTAGAATTTGGGCACTTTGGTAGAGTGTAATTCTATATTAGATAAGTTTATTTTTAAATAGCACACAGCGATGTTGTGTATTAACAACTGGATGACGTTTCGCGCATAAATTGTTGCTCATAAGTCATTGTGTCTACTGGGGCATACTTCCCGACGTAAGTACAAGTCATCTAAATCATTTAGCATCAATATTATACTCCATCAGAGAGAGACGGATAGGTCAAATTCTAGGCTAACCAACTCCTATGTAGCGAATCAGAAACTAAAGGAAATTCAATTAGAAAGAGATGAAAAAATGATTACTTCTGATATAACCAGGCTATATACTAATATCCCATAAATACAGCTCTGGAGGCAGTAAGGAATGAACTGAACATTGATGCTGAACTCAAAAGTAGAACTAAGCTCTCGGTTGGTGAAATAATATTAGGTGTTCAGTTATGTTTAGCCTCCACTGTATTCAAATTTCAAAATAAACTATATAAACAAACGAATGGGGTGGGTGGCAATGGGATCACCAATATCCCCAATAGTAACAGATATATTTATGGATAGATGGGAACATAAGGCTCTTAGAACGTTTAATCCTGATCCTAGGTTATGGTGGAGGTATGTGGATGACACATTCACCGTGTTGAAATCTGGACATATCCCTCAATTCCTCATATATATAAACTCAATAGAAGACAGAATCCTGAGTTAGAAAGTGAACAGGGTGAGTTGACTATGCTATACTGTAGAATAAAACGAAAACAACATGGCGGGTTAGATACTAGCATTTTTAGGAAACCGACACACTCTAATAAATAGTAGGACTTCATTTCATCCAGAATATGTAAAGATACGTTTAGTTAAATGTCTGTATAATCTTGCCAAGAGCCTAGAAGATTTAAATAATGAAATCAAGCGAATAAAAGAAATATTATTAGTGAATAACACAAACTACCCACCATAATTTATTTAAAATATATGGCGAACCATAGAAAAGCTAAGACTATCAATAAAAGTGGTGAAAATAGTATAGAATTCAAAGACTCTCTAGTACTGTCGTATAAAGAAGGAACGTTGTCAGAGGCCTTACGTAGGATTCTCAATGACACTGGAGTTAGGCTGGCATTTAAACCAACCAACTAACTCTCTCAGAGATAAAATTTGTCGGCTTAAGGACCCAATAGATCCAATGAAGAGAAATAATATAATTCACCAAATACCGTGCAACTAATGAAAGTGAGGTCAAAGTAGTAGGTCGGGTGAACTAGATTATTGGAACATAAAAATTTAGGTAGACCTAGAAAAACTGACCCCGATAAGTTAAATAACCTAGAAAAAAGCTCAGGCATTGCATTGCATTTACCTGGATGCATGAAATCCTTGACAGTTAAACTGAGTCAGGTAGGGAGATGCAGACTCCTGGGTTGGGGTCCTCGGGACTCTAGGAATCAATGGCTGGAGACAATAGGTGACATGGCTCAAAATCGTTGTCAATGACCAGCGCAGATGTATTCAGTCTCTGTAATCTTTCATATTCCTTCCTACCATTACCCATTCTGTTTCACTCTCATACTTGTCAAACTCTATTGATTCTCTCCACTCATCTTCTTGTCTACTTTTGTGTGCTATTTGTAACGTGGCAACTCGAACTGCTGCACTTCGGTGGCAAGTTCTATGTTGAATCCAGACAGACAGACCTGCATGCAATCATAAAATAGGATGGGAGGGGCAGGGCGAGAGTATCAAAAAGTAACATAGGTGGAGAGAGAGAGGTTAATCACTGAAGCTTTGTTTATCGATTCAACAGTGCACATGTGTAATCAGAATGACGCAACTCCAATACCGGAGATATGGAAAGTGGCAACAAACAACAAAGAGAATTTGGAGAGACAGAAATAGAGAGATAAATTGTGAAACTAAAATGAATATGATTATGAGCAATGACTTATACTTGAAATGTCATCCAGTTGTTAATACATCGTCGCTGTGTAATATTTAAAATAAACTTGTCGAATATGGTAGTACTGAATAGGTGTTTGAAATTAAACGGCATTATTTTTAGTTGTCTTTCACACCATCTCCATTATACTTTGCTTATTATTATTATTATTATGTTGAACATTAATGGAATAATCTCGTTGACTTAGAATATGCGGATGATATAGTCCTTGGTGAAGATGCTGACAAAATGCAGAGTCTTCTGAACACCTTAACTTGAGCAGCAGCAATTTTCGAATGTCTGGCATGCGATTTGCTTCCGTTAAATGTAAGATGATACTACACCACTGGACTGCATCGACTCTTAACTTGAAGATATGCAGTGAAGTGTTGGAACGTGTCGACCACTTCACTTATTTGGCAAGTTGCATCAGCCAATGCCAGCAGGTTGGTCGCTGACGAGACCACAGCACGAATACAGAAGGCTTGTTTGGCATATGCTAAGTTACGCTATCTCTGGTGTGGTTAACGTATCGTTATGTAATTGCAGTTAACTTACTGAAAAAATTAACCTGTTTGTTCCCTGATGGTGCGTGATAGTTAGAACTGTATGAAAAAAATATTTTAAGCATTGTATTTAGAAGTTGTAATAGCCATTTAAAAATATCTTCTTTGGTATTTTGTATTATTTCTCCTTGTTACACATAACACCTTTTTCTGTTATTTTAACTTTTAGGGTGGTGATCGTAATCATTTAAATACTTTACTGCAACATGAAAAAAGTCTTAACCCAGATCGTATTCCGTATTTTTTGAGTTCAACTAAGGAACGTCCTGGCTATTTTATTCTTGCTTATTTGCCTAATAAAAATCCACACTTTGAACTATTCAGTATACGACCTGAAGGCTTTAAATTTCGAAAATTAATATTCCCCACCTTGGATCGTATGATAACATGGTTCAAAGAACATTATAATGACGCTGTAAATTATTATCGTGGTTAAATACTCAGGATATTTTTTTTGTTTCTAGTCTATACTTATTCGTATTTCCTTAACTAAATAAATACATAAAAACACGCCTATGAATATTCCATCTTTACTCAGAATTCAACTGAAACTATTCCTTTTAGTTGGAATAATTTATGCTACTTGTAAATAATTCCAGTGACCATTCACACAAGTTTTCCATTGTTATTATTATTATTTTTAAAATTTAATCAATATGTACAATTTCATTTATATTATATTATGTTTTTAAAAGTAATACATATTTATACATATGCTATACAACACGTCTTGTTTTGTCCTTCACGTTCCCAGTGGAACATAGGGCTTCAAGCTAGAGGTTTGAAGTTTCTGTAGCAGTGTTAATTTTTACAGGATGGGATTGCTAGTCTCATGCCAAACCTTTCGGCTTAACCAGTCTCACTACTGGCTTAACGAGGTAAAGGAGTGCGTCTCTGGCCAGGATCGAACCCCGGACAATGTGCATAGTCGGCGAGCGTCCTAACCGCTGTGAAACTGACGCACAAAGTGTTATCTACTAAACCACTTGGGCCACGTCTTGTTTTTATGAAGAGTAATTTTCTAATACTAATCCAACCGCTTGTATTTACGCCGATTATATATGTACTTGAGATAATAAAAAAAACTTTACTTTAAAACACTTTTTTAAAATCTTATATCAACTAAGCGTTATCATCGTATGTTGATAATTGTATTACAAATTCGCGATACATAATCTTCCCTTTTGACAGATCAGTTGCAGCGGCAAGCATCTCTTCCATCTCTTCTTTTGTAAATGGTTCTCCTAAAATTATAAAGAACAAAGTATTTTCTGTAGCTTGGTTTGTAAGGGTTAGTTTTGTTCTTACGAGTTGATCACGGATTGATATCAGTTAGAGAACTATTGAAAACCAGTACTGGACAGCTGTTTCATCCTAGTACGCACCCACTGGGATTCAAACCCAGGACCTTCCGGTTACAAGGCAAGCTCATATACCATTCAGCCACTGGGACCCGATCCAATGACCTTGTAACCTGGGTTCGAACCCCCCTCGGTGGGTGCGTACTGCCGATGATTCACAAACTAGGATGAAACAGCTGTCCAGGATTAGTTTTCAGTGGTTCTCTAACTGATATCAATCCGTGATCAACTCGTAAAAACAAAGTATTTAAAAGAAAAATCATTTTCTACCTGAAGAAACCATATATGACTCCAGGGCTTGTGCAGTTAAAAATCCTTTCTTCTCTGTATCCAAAACTGAAAATGCTTTCAGCAATTCTTCTTCTGATACAGGCTCGAATCTGTTAAAGAAGGAAATATGATATCAGTAACTTCACCGATTACCTTTTCTGTTCCATTGCTTGCAACATTACAGGAAGAAATCGTTCATAATTAATGTAACCATTTGGTGGATCATTCTCTAACTGAACTTTAAAATGCTGTGCATAGCTTAAAACTAACCTCACGAACAAGTGCTACTATTTCAGCTTCAGTTGGTGCACCACCTAGTGCTCGGATGACTGTACCAAGTTCTCTGAAATCGATTGTTTTGTTACGTTCATGGTCAAACAAGTCGAACACTTCACTTATTTTCACTTCTAGATCATCTCCTGAAGGTAGAATGGGTAAAGTTACGATAGCTTTCTGGTATCGGAAAAATTTAATGAAATTGAAAAATGTTACATGCATGGTTCAGGTAATAGAATTGTATCATTTTTCTTATCACATAACAGTTTGGTGCTTCTTGAAAGGGAATATTCACTTAACTTTTTTCCCCATATAATCCACGTGACATAGCGCGCCAGGTTCTCGAGTGGGAAGCAACGAATGGATCGTTCTAGGGTGTCATGGAGGGGATCGTGCGGAGAGGAGATGAGAGCTTGTGGTTAGTCGTAGACCTTGCTGAAGAGGACGGCATAAAATGGGAGAGAGTGGAAATGTGGTGTTGAAGCCATATGTTCCACTCGAAACTAAAGGAATAATAATGATCCACATTATGGTGAAAGCTAGGTGTATAGGGGATACTATGAAGTTGAAATCCCTTGAATCTGATGTCAGCGATTACATTATGTACCGTAATTCAATATTAGATTAAAGTTGTTCTTTGGATATTCCTTTGTTATAAGTGAAAAATCATTTGTGTAACTACGTCAGCAGATTTTCAGAGGTAAAATTGCGTTTTAGGATTGAAGTACTTTTCGAACCAGAGTTGACCGTAGTATTACGAAGATACAATAATAAAACTTGTGTTTCTATCTTTAATCAGCAGTGACTTGTAATTCTGTCAACTTCTGTTTAGTAAATATTCAGCGTTGTACCTGTCATTGTGAATTATTTTAATCTACATTGTCAGGGTTCTTCAGTCGTTGGTTCTTAGTTGTTTGAAGATACCAGATATGCTATCTACACTTATAAGATTCAATAACTCCATAGAATAATATTGTGTTTTGACCTGATTATTTATGCCTTACATCACACAAACTTGAATATGTGTAGGTGAAAACCAAGTTGGCATCAAAACACGATCTCAGATGAACATGGAGATGCCAGGGTTGACAAGAATACCCAGTTGTGGACTACGAACATGAGTCACCATCAATGAGAAGAGGGAGGTTATCTCGTTCAACTATCTGAGAACCATCGCTTCAACTACAGCTGGGTGGCACGGGTGTGGGTGTCAAAGCTAGGATCAAGGAAATAAGACAGGTGTTTATTACTCTCAAACTATTGTAGAATTCTACAACGCAAGGAATAATATCCGAACTTTCAACGGTTATCTGAAGTCATTGTTTCTACAGGCATTTTCAACAGGCTGCACACTTTCATCAATAGATACCTTTGCTCACTACTGAAGATTAGATGGTCAACCGAAAAAGAAAAACAACAAGGAACTCTGACTGTCCAGCGAATCAGCCAAGAACATACTGTCCAACAGAGAAGTAGAGATGGATTGAAAATACTCTGAGAAGTCCTTCAAGTGATATCACAAGACAAGCAGGCCCTGGAGTGGAATCCGGAGCAGAAGTCACGGATTTAGTTTCTGATGGGGACATATAAAGGACCATGGGAAGGAGAAATGAAAGTCAGCGGAAAGTTGAAGGGTATGACAAATAATCGAGTGCAATGGGGGTTTGCTTCTGCAGTGCAATGTTCCACATAAACATTGAATGAATAGTAATTTGGTATGACCACCTTTAATTCTCCTTCAGTATAATCATACTTCAACTAACACAATTCATCAAAGAAGGTAGCGGTTCAGTAAGCGTAGCACATGTCGTAGCCGTCTCAATGAGTGAGACTTTTTATAATTTTGTCAATCGACTTGTCTTCTTAACCTAACACTCTAGACCAAAGCTTCACACAACTTGCCACCTTACTCTATCTTACGCCAGTATTTGGACGAAGGAATCAATCACTGAAAATGTCTGGTCTTTTAATTTTAATGAATACATCTTACAACCCTAGTGTAGGACATGGTAAAAAGCAGCAAAATACACATCTTCTGGTTGATAATCGAATATCACGCCTAAAAATGATCAGTGAGGACATGTGTGAAAATAGCCTTCAGGGATTTTACCAGCAATCAGTCTATTAGGCCTATTCCACTTCCCAAATAAATGGAGTTTCAGCACATCTACTCATTTCAATCCCGTTTATTTAGTATTATTGCACTAACGCTTGTAGGTCGACAGAATCTAAATGCTGTTTTCAGATAAGTAAATACGGCAAGTATATAACTACCATGCATTCTAGAACGTGTGGAGTGGTTAAAATGTCATTAAAGAGAATTTATCAGGTTCTGAAATCTTCCCGGGGTTTTCTGGACCCTCATTTAATCTTCGAAGCAGTGCAGAACAGTCTTCGATACTATGTCAGTCAAGCTAATCCTCATGCGATTACCACAGGAAGTATCAATTGCTTCTACACTGAAATGACCAGACATCTACATCAGTCTGATATAACTCTCAGGTTCCTATACACTAGCTAATGCAATCTTTCATCTAGTCATTCCTCTACTACCATTCCTAAAAACTACATAGTAATACCACTGAACTCTGCTTCTTTGATACACTTTAGACTAGAGATTGTTTTTACAAAGCAAGACAAAGTCGATGGACTAATTAGGTAGAGGAAGAAGCCTCAGTCGGCCAAGAATGGGCAGGTATTAAGAATGATAATCCATTGAGTGAATTCTGGCTAACTAATGAGAAAAATAAGAAAATACTGTCTAAATAATGGTTAATATGGAGAAGCAGGGGTTAAATGATGGAAAATATTGCCCCTGTTTAGCCAGTTACATAGGCCATACAACTAAGCGTGTTTATCGTCGGATTTTGGAATAACATACTGCGTGGTTGTTATTAATATTTCCTTTAATTCCTAGAGGAACATAGGGCTTCAGCCGCGCGTCTCCATTGCGTCAAGGTTCTCTGCCAACGTTTTCACCCCGCTCCAAGTCTGCCCACATGCTTTCATCTCCTCTTCACATGACCTCCTCCAAGTCACCCTCTCATTGACGACCAACTCCCCGCTTCCTTTTCGGGTTCCACTCGAGCGATAGCCTGTCTAGTAATGTCACCTGACGGTTCCCTCAGAGTATGGCCAATCCATCTCCACTTCTTGCGTGGTTGAGTAAGGGAGAAACAAAGTCCATTTAATAGTTATATTTTATTTCATCTTGTGGATGCATAATACAAGATTGATCTTAAGAAGGCTTTCAGAGTCATCTACCACGTACCAACTGATCTTAACTTTAATTTAAGAGTACGTCTACTATATACTGCTGAGGCCGTTGGGACCTATATTAAGAAACTAAATCCAGAAGTTGGTTCAAACAATGACTTTACCTCAACCATCAAGGTTATAATGATCCTTAATTCATTGCAGAAATTTACTAAGTTTTATTTGACACTCTATTTACTATTATACCCTTATGCTTATTATAACCTAAGCGTCTTTCTTGAACTATAATTTCATTGATCTTGCTTAACAAATCGATAGTATTTGAAGACACTAATATTGTTAATGACGATTATTCTAGGCTATTCTGCGCATATATTTATAATTGTAGAGCCAGAAATAGATATTGTCAAAAAGGATATTATTTGTTCAATTTTTTTCTAAATGTATGAATAAACATTTTCGCTGTATTAGAAAAATTGGTTGAATCACAAAAAAATATTGGTTCACTAATGGCCGATATTGTAAAATACTGATTAAATTTTAGTCGAAATCAGAAAAATTTTCATATAACCAAAATTCACTCGTTTTTTCTTACTTTTGGCCACCTTCGTCCGACTGGGATGGCAGGGGACTGTAAACCACTTAACTGCCCATGTTTATATCCGACACTTCAGGAACTTTTGAAGGTTCCTGTATGTAGAATATTGCCTGTTTTACTACCACTTATTAAGAATTCCGGGTTTCACCTTTTTAACCCAGTTATAGGCCCACCCTTCTACTTTTTTGCTTGGTTGGGAAACTGAATGATTCTAAATAGTTGCTGGGTTGCCGTTGCCTTTCTCACTTCTTTTGCATTCACTCGAGGACTTGAGTCTTCACCATTGTCGTTGCATCAAACTGTCTTTCCAAGCCGTGCCACAGTCGTGACTAGCTACGAAAGGTTATGATTTAGATTCAGATTATAAAGACAGAAGACTCTTGTTGACTATGTTAATCCTTGCGATATATATATATATATATATATATATATATATATATATATCTGCAGGGCTCTAGTTTCTCTTTGAAAGCGGTCACCGGTGCAGCCGTTACAACTAAATCAGGTAAGGAGTTCCTGTCATTGGCCACCCTGTGAGAGAATCTAAACTCCATGTGAGCACTTTCTTGTGATGACATCGTAAATGTATTTTAGAGAGAGAGAAGGTTTGAAAGTTCAATCCCTAAATCACCCATTTATATACGGTATGCCAAAAGTAAACCGCCTCTTTTCCTTCGGTATGATAATGGGAAGAGATTTAAATGGTCTATCCTCTTATCATGTGGAAGGTTTGAGATACTACTAGCTAATTTTGTTAATCTTATCTGTTAATGCAGAACCCATGTTCTTGTATATAAGACAGGCATTTAGGGTTTTACAGTGATAAAGATATTGTTCTCCACTTAGTTAAATTTGTAAGAGTGCATATAGATGACAAGGAGACACAATCGGAATAATTATGTAGACATATATGGCATATAAATACCCTGACCTTTAAGCGGAATAGATTCCTTGGATAAGTGATGCTTGAATATCTCGTGGAAACTTGGCGTTTGTCGGTAGTATGTATATTAAGAAATGAATAATTGATTTACTTTGAAAAGAACCTTCCAACTCAGGTTGCTCTGTCATTCAAATTGTTGTTTATTTACCTACTATGGTAGCAGCCGTCAAGGTCAGAAAATAATTTTACAATAAAAAGGTAAATTGAATCATTTTTGTGAAATAGTGTTAGATTCCCCGATTTTTATAAGCAAGCAATGGATGAATGATCTTAAGTCCTTCCAAAGCTTTCAATGTTGGTGTTTTAACAATATAGCGCAAGTCAAGCTGAATGGCTTCCTCGTGTTTCTTTATAGTACATAGCAGTCTCTAACCCTTGATGAATCATTACATTAACAGCATCACCAGTCGGTAGACCTTGACAGCAACAGTGGGTTTCTCTAGACATAGAAGAAATCTTGTGGACTCTCTTAGAACCCCGATGCACTTGTAGTTAGATTTGGATGTTAGTAGTTTGGCTTATTTCGGATGAATAGGAGGTCAGTAATAATAGCGTTAAAATTCAGATGGCCAGAAAATGAGGGCTGGAAAAAAGTGTGTCAAGACATCATGTCAATAATTCGACAGATTTACGTATAATATTAGGTCGGCATAAGGAGCAACCCGGACATCTTGTTAGGGTGGACCAGGAGGTGTCAGCCAGTTATTCGATCAGAGTGCAAAACCAGCAGAATTAGCAGGTGGATAACAGTCATAGACAGTATTCCTAGCCAACTTTTACAAGAAGGTGGCCTAAATGGTGCTCAAGTTATGTGAATAACTAGCGTCTTAGAAAGTTAATAAGTATAGGAATACATGAAGTAAACGACCGAATAAGTCTCTATTTCTGTGACCGGTTGACTTTAGACCAGGGAAGCCTGTCAGACTTTGCGACATGTCTTCGTGGAAGCTCCATTTATGCTTGAAAGAGCTAATTGAGACAGCGACACACCTGGCCAGGTGAAATGTTCCACTTGATGACTACACTCGGTGATTGTATGAATTCCACTATTATCTTATTTGACATGTTAGGCACCTCTTAGTAATGGCATCCTAGAGGTATTTTGAAATCAGTGATAAAATTTGGAAGGTAATCAATCAGTCAACGATAATATCAAATAAGGTCACCTTTCCTTCTGTGTCATGAAATTGAGTCGCTTAGACTTATTGCCCTTCTCTCAGAGCTTGTATGTGCGCCTCCTCTTACTAATTGATCGCCGAGAATTGTCACTATTTGGAGAATGGATGCGAATTATGCGAATGGTAGCAGTCGAATTCGAAAGCACCTTCGAACTGGTCGTTTATTTGTGAAAGCCGGACTCAGCCAATTTTTCCGGTGAAAAATTAGGCTGAGCTTATCCGTCACGTTAGTCGAAATCTCACTACGTAAATTTATCTTGTGAATAAATTTTATTAAAATTGTGTCATATGTTTTTTGGATCGACAGGGATTCTCATTTCCTAAAGTCATGTTGGTGTCCGCGTCATGTGATCCGACTGCGGCACACCCTCGGCATGCTGGCTGCAGTGATTAGTGTTTCCGGCGAAATGTGTCAAAATAGCGCTACAATCAGCAACATGGGATAGTTTAAGGTTAATGTCACTTACACAAATAGTCTACTTTATGTAAAAATTGCACCTTTCGGCATAGTATGATCCAATGAAGACTACATGTTTCAGGATATCAATGCAACCTCATTTCGTGTGAGAAGCAGTACTATTTGACAAACGAATGCTATCAGTACGCGGAATTCACCTGTAAATGCTAACAGAACCTTCTTTGAGAAGAGAAGTTTTCATGTGGATGTCTCTTTCACCGTATATTTCTTGGATAGGAATTGTCGTAAGTTGAAAGGTTATGTCTAAGTGGATTTAATCTATATTTCCACTGATTGATGAGGTGTAAGATGGGCTATGTGGATTCTTTATATAAAAATGTTTCCGCCTTAATAATATTGCTCCATTGTCTGCTTGGCTGACTGCTAGATGCAAGTGCAGTGCAGTGAGTAAGCCAACTGCTCGTTTAATTCTCCTCACTGTTGCACTTAGTGCATTAATTCAATGTATAGTATTATTATACACATAATTTGTGTTGATTATGAGAACTGAATCTAGTCAGCTCTATTACTATCAACCTATTGTCCATTAAACCATTTCCACTGACACTGTATACTTAATACTTTTGATTACCATTAGTGGAGATGAATTTCTCCTGAAATTTCCATTTACACGAGGCAGTACAGATGTGGTATCGCAACTCAATGTCTGGGTAACTTTGTTATCCTTATCAACACAATACGTCCATGTATCTTTGAAAATTTTAAGTATTTCTCTACGCTGTTAACACTGTGCTTGACTGTTTAGAGTTGAGACCTATGTACGTTATATTTGGCTGTTATAGTTGACGGCTACAGTATAATCGTCTAATAATGAAAAAATCTGGGGTCTGTTTGTGCATACAGAGTGAATATGAAAACCGTCTGTAGGCTGCAAATACCTTTATTTACATGAAAATTCTACTAGGTATTAACATAGTAAATGTATCCAATTTGTACACTAATACGTAAAATTGGCTTTTATAACTTTCGGTTGTACTAATCCTTACATATACTTTATTTTTTAGGTATATGGAGGTTGTCTGGTATGAAATCAGCGAAAATATCAGTCGGTCGAACTACCGCTAATAGCCTTAATCAGAATTTCCTTTTGTATATTAATGGAATGCATAACATACTCTTAACTAACACTTCTGAACTTTTTCAATGCATCTCTTTAATACAGACTGTTGTAATGTGTGAAGCTTGCTCGATGCATATTATTTCGTTTACTAGATATATCATATAGTGAGACAGTATCACTTATCGGACAACGTTTCTAACAAAATTTACCATTCATAATCATATCAGTTACAACCACGCAACTTCGAAATAGGAGTTTTATGGTTGTCTTTTTGCTCTGTTTCTAACCAGTTATACATTTAGACATAATCAGCGTACGCTCCTTACTCCTAAAAGTATCTAAAACTACGTAGCTACTTCAAGACAGTTTGCGCTGAGTGTAGCTTTAGGTACATAAAGGTTGGACATCGCGTCTGCGTGAAACGATTACCCTACCTATCCAATTGCATACTTTAAAGAGAAGCTTATGGAATAAACGAAGTCAGGTATGTGATTGCCTCGAGGAGGGCCATTTCACGTTCTCAGTGCGGTTTTATCTGTTCTTCGTTCCTTCCACTGGTTAAATAAACACAATAAAGAGGCACATGCGTCATTTACATATCTTGCATTTACGTGTCGCTCAATAGATTTATGAAACTGTCGCTTTAACTTCTAGTAGTTTTCAGTTGTCGTGGGTAGTAAGTTTCGGGTGGCAAACATCCATCGCTGA